TGTCAGAGGAGTGACATGTTTGCCTAAAAGCTTTTTCCTGCCAGATTAGCTGCCAGATCATTACAGGAGAGGTGACGGTGGTTTAAATGCTCGATCTGTTCTGCACGAGCTCGACAAACACCGGGTTACAGAGAAGCTCTAATTTGACTGCATAAAGGATGCAAATGGGATTAAAGAGCCGCAGCCACTGAGCTTTTTTTTGTTTGTTTGTTTGTTTACAGCAGTTGTTCTCAGCTTTGTTCTGCCGAGGCTGAAAATCCGGCAGGTTTTTATTCTGACCCCAACACAAGAGCTGAGTTTCACTGATTTGTTCCATGCTTCGTCTCAGGGCTGAAAAAATCACCTGGATGGAAGATAAATAAATAAAAACTTCAAACTCCGGAGCCACAAACACAAAGTTACAGTCTGCTTTTTAAAGATAAACAGCTGCTTTTTCTCTATTCTGTAGCTGTATCAAAGAGAGATATCTGCAGTCATTCTGTTACTTTAAGGTGAAGCAAATATCTGTTTTTCAGCCTTTCCAGCTGTTGAGTCATACATCATCCCAGATTCTGTGCTGCCATCGTTATCAGACGGTCTCTGACGCCTGACCGTGATCTCTTCCAGGTTTCCATGAACTGCGACTACGTGTTTGTGAAYGGGAAAGAGACGCGGGGCTCCATGAACGCCAGGGTCATCTTCAGCTACGAGCACCTGAGCGCGCCGCTGGAGCTGACCGTCTGGGTGCCCAAACTGCCCCTGAAGGTGGAGCTCACCGACAACAGCCTGAGCTTCATCAAAGGCTGGAGGGTCCCCATCCTGCCTGACCGCAGGTGAGTCTCAGCCACACAGACTGCACAGCTTCCTGCCTCTTCAGCTTCAGGCTTCGTTCTCATCAGTTAAAACATCACCGACTGTTCTACAGCTGTTCAGAAACAGCAAMCAGAATGAASAGAAACCTCTGCAGCGTCTCGGTGAAGGACCGAATGCAGATGTGAGAGATTCTGGGGCGATGGGGGAAGAGACGGTCCTGGGTCTGTTAACAGGGCATCTACTGGCAGAGAGGGGTCGGGACTCAGGCTTGGGTCAAGACCATTAAATCTGAGATCACAAAAACCAGACGGGGTGTAGGCAAAGAGTAAAGGTTCACCAAGAAAACAGGCTTGAGATCACAATGTTGTGGCTTGAAGAAAAGTTTGATCTACAAAAAACAATGTCAGGTTATTTCTGTAGGACATAAAACAGAAGCTGAACAAYGTGCTTCATAATTCAGCCAAATGAGCAGATAAAACAACAACAAAGACACACAAACAATAAAAAAATAGTCAAATTAATTTCAAATACAGAAATGTAACATGGAACCATCAGCTCTTAAAGAATCTTAAATTCTCAAACTACCAAGGAGTAAAGTTAATCCACAGATAATCTGGCATCAACAATTCATGCATCAAAACCTTCAGCTTCTTCAGAACATTCMAGCCCTGACTTTTGTTTTTTCAGCCATTTTTTTCCATTGAAAAATATTTCAACAACCTTAAAATCGTTCAAAATAGTTCAACTCTACCTGTAATTTACACTTTTTGTTCTGGTTTTGCTGTTTTTAGGTCCTTTGTGCTAAATTTAGCTTCCTTCAGCTTCTTTTTTTTTTTTTTGCTAATGTTAGTTTTTATTCCAGCATTTTTTTTAGCTATTTTTCTGCTCTTTTTGGTTATTTTTCTTAAGAAAAACTTGTGCTTCTGTCAGATTCTTTCTAATTTTATCCTTTTATGCTTCTTTCAGCTGGTTTCTGCAATTTAAGCTATTTTTTAGCTAATGTTAGACTTTTTCAGCTAAATTCACCTTTTTGTGATCATTTTAGCGAATTCTTTCATTCAGCAAGGATGTGCTTCTGGCTTCTGATTCAGCTTTTCAGTTACATTTTAGCATTTTAGCCTTTTTAGGCTATTTACAACAAATTGCAGTTTTTTTGCACATAATTTCTTTTTTTCTGCAAATATCAATTAGCATTCATGCAATTCTTTAGTTCTATTTTCGTGACWTAGTGTAAAGAAAAAATGTTGCACCCCCTTTTTAGATGGAGCCCCCTCCTCAAATATGGGGTCTRTTGTAAAACTGTTGGCAGTATWTAGTTTTTATTTTCATTAATGAATCCAGTTCAGTCTCACAATCCTGTTATTTACAGTCAGTCAGCAGAAACTGTGTTCATTCTTCACTTTCTCCGATATGAGAGGAGACAGTCGAGAGGATAAACTCTCTCTTCAGCTGAACTCAGGAAGGATGGTTCTGCTCCAATCAGCTCAGGGATGAGAGGACAGCTAACAAATGCAAAAGAATGGGAATATGAATACCTGAGAGGAGAAAAAGGAAAACAGGKGGAAAGTAAAAAAATAAAATTACAGCTATAATTGYGTGTACCCTCGTGAGGAGCGAAGAGAGCATCTCAGCTGGTGGTGSCACAGCAGGAAAAGGCTGAGAGGGTTGAGATGACCTGGAAAAGATGGATGAAGAGGAGGAAGAGGAGTGTTGCATGAAAGGCAGTCTGAAAAGCTCAGTGACACAATATTTTGAAATCTAAAGAATGAGGACTTTCAGCTCATTCCTGCAGAAAAAACAAGACAAAAGATGATTGGTCGAGGGCGGTGATGTGGATATTAAAGATGGAGGTATTTTGATTTTGTGGGGGGAAAAAATAGAAATGACTAACAGAGCTGCAGGGATAGCTACAAGAAAGGAAAGAGTGTTTTTTTTTGTGTTAAAGATTATTAACAAACCTTTAAATAAACAATCAGGTAAAAGATTATTACTGAAAGTATCGATCAAAAGTAATAACTAGAGAAATTGCATTTCCTGGGAAAAGTACGAAATACTTATTGCTGAAAACTTCAACTGAAAGCTGCTGGAAAAGCTGAAAATGTTTTTGTAATTCAAGTTCAATTTAAAAAGCTGACAGAAGCATAAAAATATTAACTTAGTAAAAAAATAGCTGAAAGGAGCAGAAAGATAGCTCAAATTTGCTTAAAAACTAGCTAAAGGTATCAATATATTCTATATTAAAATAGCTGAAAGCAGCTTTATGATGCATAAATAGCTCAAATTAGCAGGAAAAAGGTGCAAAAAATTAAAAAATTGCAGAAAAATGCAGAATTATAGCTAAAATAGCAGAAAAAGCTAAAATTAGCACATAAAGCTGAAATAGCAGTAGGAAGTTAAAAAGAGGAGAACCAGAACAAAAAGTGTAAATTTGTAAAGATTTATAAACATTTTTGAACAATTTTAAGGATGTTTTAAACAACTTCTTTCATTTTAAATTGGAAACATGTGGCCAAAAAAGTGAAATAGTTAAAAAAGTATAAATAGCAGAAATATCAAAAGTTGTAGCCAGAATGTCGTGAAGGAGCTGAATGTTTTGATAAATGAAATTTTAAAAAAGCACAAGAATTGCAGGAGATACGTGCCAAAAACAGGAAGAAAATATGATCTTGCATCGTGTATTTACAATATTTCCAAGAAGCTAACTTCTTTTATATTTATTTATTTTTGCCGTTTCAATGTTCTTCATCTTTACAAAGTGCTGCATGTAGAAATCTGTAACATCAGCCAATCAATGAGGCCTGAGTGATTATGACTGGCGTTTAATTTTCAGCTAAAGCTTTTGCACGTGAAACAAGGCGTTTGTGCACAGAGTGAACTGTGGTTTGCATCTCATCTCATTTGATTGGATAATCTCTCTTCTTGCAGCATCAGCAACACTTAAACAGTAACATTAGAGGCAGCGGTGCATCCAGGGAGAAGTGCTTGGATCAGAACTTAGACCGTCAACCAAACAAAGACCACCGTGACCCTCAGGAGGGAGGGGAGGGAGAGTGTTGTGAGAGTTCAGTTCGTGTGATTTAGGTTTTTACATTTTTCAGCTTCTGTCCTTTTTTATCAAAAATAAGACGTCAACGTTTAAAACTAAAGCAAAGCCTTCTTTTCACCAGATAAGTCTGTAACCTATCTGCTTTTTTTTTCTTTTCTTATCTAACCCCCCCAGTGAACTGAGCAGAGCCAGAGCGCGTTCGGTTCAGTTCCGAATGTATTTTGGAGTTTTTATTTTCGTACACGATTACCACACGCTCATTATCTAAAGTGCGAGGAGCCGTGCCGTCTCCCACATTAGTCTAATCCAGGATTTTTTACGGGTAGTTGCTTGTTTTGGTCCAATTAGACGCTCTGCCTCAGGTGTAAAGCAAAAACGCTTCCCGCAAAATGAAGCTCTCAAGTGCAAATTGAGCTACAAGGCTGCGGTGCACGTGTCAAACCCGTCGTAACCCGCTTCATACAACAAGGCCAAGACACACATTTATTTGGCAGTGAGTTAAAAACAGAGAAAGCTTTTCAGGAGGGAATGTTTGCAGCACTTTTAGAAACATAATGAGCTTTTCAGACTGCAGTAACAAGGAAATAACTGTGTGTTTCCTGGTGTATGAAATAATATCTAAGGTCAAACATGTCTTACTGTTTGCTTCTTAAAACTCCTACACAGTTGATGCAGTCATAAAACTGCTTTCTTTTACTTCAAATCTGTAAACATGCACATATTGTTTAAATTCTTTCAAGTAAAACACCCATGGAGGTGAAAAAATGTGCCTAAAGAGAGATTAAGGTTGTTGGAGCCATGACTTCAATATAGAATGGGGTCTTGGGTTAAGGAACCTTTGTTCATTAAAATATTTCAGTATTCTCGTCTCTGGCACCGAGCAGGAGCAAACAGCCTCACAACAAATGTTTAATAAGGACATTAACACTCACAGGGTGGCCGCTGTCGTCCCTGGTGGAGAACATCACCGTGGTCCAATTCCACTTCTGCCCAAGCTGCATACAAATGACGTGTTTACGAAGCACTCCGGAGGAGGAAGCAAATTCAAATGAGCCTGAGTGCTTGGAAGACTCGTTTTTTCCAAACATCCCTACCAGGCTGTAATGAGAAATAAATGTTTTATTATTTTGATATTCATGTGACTTTAATATGCCTTTCTTTGAAATAATCAGCCTTTAAAGTAAAACCCAGGAGGAGGATTTGTACTGTTTCATGGCTTTAACAGACCTGTGAGGTCACTTTATGTTGAATGGTACCTTCATCCATCCATCATCCATCCATCATCCATTATCCATCCATCCATCATCCATCCATCCATCATCCATACATCATCCATTATCCATCCATCCATCCATCCATCCATCATCCATCCATCCATCAATCCATCATCCATCCATCATCCATCCATCCATCCATCCATCCATCATCCATCCATCCATCATCCATCCATCCATTATCCACCATCCATCCATCCATCATTCATCATCCATCCATCCATCCATCATCCATCCATCATTCATCCATAATCCATCCATCCATCATCCAACATCCATCCATCATCCATCCGACTGTAAGAAAATTCATGTTCAGTAAACTGAAGTCAATATTAAAACCACCATTGTTAAATAAAATGATTTGTAGAAGGGATCAAACCATACAACACCAGAATTCTGGATCTGAGTGAGGTTTATTGCCACTTGAGCTGACAGGAAACCACAYTCGCGAAAAACCAGGAAGTTCATCAAWTTATACATGTTCTTCAATGCCTGCGTTCGCCCCCTACTGAATTAGAATCACAGGCATTCAGACAAAATTCTCATCTAATGTTCTCATAACGGTTAATTATGGGTTGTTATAGATATTTTGGACATGTAACTGATCTATTATCAATCAAAACATAATAGATTAAACATTGTCAACATTATGTAAAGGAAAACCTAAGACTGCGGTGTTGTGCTTCTAACATCAGTACTA